TTTTTTTTTTTTTTGGTTACATTGTACTCTTTCTCATAATCGGGCAAGATGAAAATGAGAAGGAAAAAAAGGATAAAATAAATAAATAAATCCACCTGTCATGACGTATTCTGGGGCAGCATAACCGTAAGTTCCCATGACACGTGTCGAGACATGGGATTTACCCTCATCAGGAGCATCTTTAGCAAGGCCGAAATCAGAAAGTTTAGCATTATATTCCTGATGAAAAGAATAACAAAAACCTAAAAAACATCATTTGTCTGGTTAAACACACACACACACATCAATAATGAAAAAATGTAACCAAGAAAAAAAAAACAAATGATGTCTACTTACAGCATCTAACAAGATATTAGATGTCTTAAAATCACGGTAAATTACGGGCCTTTCAGCTTCCTCGTGAAGAAAAGCGAGCCCTTTGGCAGCCCCAAGAGCTATTTTCATTCTGATTGACCATGGAAGAGGGAGAGACCCTATAATTAACAATTGTTAGAAAAAGAGGGATAAAACAAAGCGCTCTAAGATCAGAACTCAAAAAAGATTCGAACTTCATAAGTATCGATACAGAGTGCACAGTGAAAAAAAATGCCATTTTCGTACTTCTGAATAAGTGGTTCTCCAAGCTTCCTCTAGGCATGAACTCGTATACGAGCAGCCTTTGATCATCTTCAATACAGTAGCCAACTAATTTAACCAAATTCGGATGAATGAGGTCACCCAAGAAATTCACTTCAGCCTGCCAAGTCGGACAAAAAAACTAACTATTATCATATATGAATTTACAATCTTCCAAATAAACATTCATAAATTTCAGTTACTAAACACCCATGAAGCTTAAATCATTGTTTTTTATTTTTTATTTTTTTGTTTTTTGTCCTCTGTTCATAAGAACAATATCTCAAAAACCCCACCTGCCATTTATAGACATTAAAGTTATCCCTTTAAAATTAAGACAGAACAAGCCTCAGGGAATTTTTGTTGCTTGTTTATAATTTCCACCAACCTTTAGGCTCTTCAGAACTTAACACAAACCTCAGATAGGGATTTGGAGTGATTAAATCCCTCTTTTTAGTTAAAAAAGATTCGAAACTCAGTAGATCTTAGCTTAACAGTTAAAATCTATTCATCCAAAGACAAACATAATTACATACAAACTTCTGTAAAAGAGAAAAAAAAATTGAGAAAGCATCAAACCAGCCATTCTCTGTGCCCTTGAAGCCCATCGTGATTCAGTGTTTTTACAGCTACCGTAAGTCCAGTCCCGGGCTTAACGGGGGCCGTGCCATTCTCTTCGATCCACCCTTTAAACACACAACCAAAACCCCCTTCGCCAAGAAGTGATTCGGGTCTGAAATTCCTTGTTGCCAGCTTAAGATCGTTAAATGCAAACTTTCTCAGCCGGGAAGAGACTTTAAGATCTTCCTCGAGTTTCGTGATGGATGAGATGCTTTCCGGGCTGCTGCTTGTGGTGGTGGATGATATTATATTGGCAGCCTGTTGATTTCGGCTAGTGTCATTTGTGGGTTTACTTTCTGTGAGAAGGTAGAACAGGAAGACAAAAAATTGAAATATTTTCGAAAATATATGGATATGATTACAGGATTATGTGTGTTTACAAAATAAAATAGCAAAAAATATCAGATGATTGTAAGTTATGCATTAGACTGTATATTTCACACCTTACATGCGATTAGTTCAATTATAATTAGAGTGTGTCGACAAAAGAGCTCATGCAAACAACAAAGGAAGCATCTTTGATGGGATAAAACTAAAATGAGAATAGTAATAATTCAGTACATGTAACTCTTTTGAATTTAGCAATTAAACTTCTTGATTGGTTTCTTCCCTTTGCATTTCTTCTTTTAAACATAAGCCAAAATATGGCTTTATTATGCACCTATACTACTTATGAATAAAAAACAATGACAGCAACAAATTTCAAAAAGACAAATATAAGATAAAATAGGTTTGTTCACCAACTTGAACTAAAAATCAAAAGAAATTTTTCAAACCCATGTTGAAAAATCAAGTTCCTAAGTTCCTAGAAACATTACTAGAAAAAAAAACGAGCTACCGAGATCGAATTATCCCCACACAAACCTCGACAAATCCAACAAATCAAGGCTTTCCAAGATAACACAATCGAATCGACTAAAGCACGAAAAAAAAAGCAAATACAGAACTTAAAGAAAGAAACTTGTCCTTCATATCAACCCTGAAGAAAATAAGTGCACAAAACACAAACAGAAGCTTGGAACAAAGTTAGAAATTTCATAATAATATTCATGAAAAGGAAAACTAATTACCATGAGTGCTGATGCCACTAACAGAGTTATCAACTTTAGATCTTGAAGATATACAGCTGCTAATAAACCTCAATTTTATCCAACAACCAGACTCAACAGTTTCATCATTATCATCAACATCAACATCAATATCAATACCATCTTTTTTCTTCTTCCTCCCTTTAGATTTCTTCACATCACAAGACTCCACTTTTAAGCCATCATCAACTAATCCCATCCTTCTACAGACACAACAAAACCATCCAAAAGCTCCCCAAGAAAAGGAAAAGCACCCAACTTTTTACAAAATAGTCCTCACTTCTAGCCCAAATTTCATGGAAGCCCCTCAAATACTCACCCAAAATTACTCAAAACCCACTTCAGAAAATAAGTCAAATATATTAAGGATGACCCTTTTTCTCTTTCCCTTCAAGAAATGATTTTTATTACAAAATAAGGCCACAAAAATCCCCAAAACATCAAACCCAGCAAAGGGTTACAGAATATCCATACCACAAAACTGAAAAGTAAAAAAAA